TTTAAAAACCATATACCATTGCATTTCAATGGTACAATTTTTGCACAATTGCAGAATTAAGAGTAATTGGCAGTACTGTATAAATAACTGAATTTTATACATTTAAAAAGTACATGTATAATTGGATAACTAACCCCACTGTAAATTTCTGCAGCAGAAACATGACCCCAAGGAACTGCCATTTCCAAAACATAATTGGGCACACATTCACAATGCACCTGCTAAGTTTTGAATTAACTTGTCATTGCAGATCTACACTATTGACTATGCTTGAATTGCTGAAAGCAAAATGCTAGCTTCATGATTTCTATACCCATTAGACCCCTAAATTCATCACAAACCCTAGTCTGACTTAAGTTTAATGGCAAATGATTCATCCAAACAGGTGTGGTACACTCACAATTCTTCCATCTTAGTTCAGGTGGTAAAGAGTTTTTTCTACAACTGGAGTCAGTAAGAAGAATTTCTCTGTTAGAGAAAGCAGACATTTTCACCTTTGGCAGACTGCCAAGATGATGATTTATTATGGAATTTATGAAGCTACAGTTTAGTAACTTGCAAATTAAAAAAAAAGAAAAACATAACTTAATATAACCCCATGTCACAAAACTTTTCTTTCTAGACTTTTCTTAGTGCAAGAGATATCAATGAAACACTTGAGAATTGACCATGAAATCCTAGCCAAAAAAAATGTAATCAACTTAGAAGTGGTAATAAAAAAAGAGAAACAACCAGAGAGGCACACAGATCGTTTTGTTCTGCTTTTTTTTTTTTTTTTAAAAGGATTTTTATACTATATTAAAAAACCACAAAATAAAAAAGGAATCAATCAACATGTATCTTAGAAGTCCTTCCAAGAGTCTCAGAACTCAACAGCCATGGAGGCTGCCACCTTGTCTTCTCTGCTCAGCCTGCAGCTCATTTAAGGATCATTAGATGACTCGTGTTCTAGGGTTTTACCATCAGACTTGTTCCGCCAAATCCAAGACCCTGAATTTATCCAAATTGTAGAAACATGCTTTCACCACCCGTCCACCAAAATACCTCCCATTCAGATCCACAACAGCTAAAAGGCAAACAAAAAGACCATGAGTTATACAAGTAAATGTATTTCAGTGATAAAGATTAAGATGAAGATTCAACTTTTTATACTTTATATTCCACTGTACAACTTACCTTTAATTGCAGATTCAACCCTCTCAAATTCTAAAAATATTCGTACAGCTTCATCATCAGGGGCGCCAGGAATCTGGAAAAGAAATGTCTGTTTTGTTATTTCTTCACATGAATGATTCTATCTGTGGAGCACAGAATAAGTTCCCCGTTATCACAAATGCTACTAGTATAGTACTGCTTATGTAGGGGGCTCTGAATAAATACTTGCCAAATGTTTGGAACCAAAGGATGTCCAAGTAACACACAACAATTGTCATCAGTGAACACACAACAATTCAGATCTCCAAAAGTCATACCAATCCACATTCATAAAAGGAAAGTATTTCTATTCCTTCACCAAATAATTTTATTTGGTAGTTATTCTTGTCTATATGCTTAAAGTTGTTGCAAAGGAATAAGAGAAGTATAGTTAATCAACACCTGCCACTTTTAGTAGTAAGATAATACATCACTTCTTGCCAGGACTTTCTTCTGAAGCGCCTCTGGGTAGACGCAAACCTCCAATTTTCCATAAGCAGCTCAGCGCATTAATTGTTGGCACTATGCACGGATTCACTTATAGTTTGCATACTTTGTTTCAATTTGTAGAATATGTTTTGTCATCTGCCAATTACAACTTGGGTTATAAAAGTCAGGAGAAAACCTTCTTACTTCAAATATTACGCATTTTCCAACTTTGCCATATTTTTCACATTCTTCCTTGGTTTCAACTTCCAGGTCTTCATCTACCTCTCCTGCGCCAACCATGTTCTATAAATAAAGAAAAATACACTTAGCTATAGTTTACAGATATATAACAAATGAGACTTTCATTAGGGCAAGTGGTATTAATCTCCAGTTACATAACAGAATTCTTTATCCCATTAGTATTAAAATGTTAGTATTTCTTCAAGCAAAATAAAACTATGTATTACAACACTTGGTAAAGTGTTAACCAAAATACCTAGGTAACCACCAAGATACATAAACTAAGCTGAGCATGTAGTAATTTCACATATTTTTAAGTAATTACTTACTACACTCTTAAAGCACTGTATTTAGCAAAGTAGCATGCACTAATGACAAGGCAATTTAAAATCAGTCTTACATGGAACCCATCCCTTTCCATTTTCTTTACCGTCTGTGCTATCAGTGGGGGTGAAAGCATGTGGGGAGAGGCACAAAAAGCAAGGCAAACACACAGTTTTTGTTCTTTTGCTTCTTACCCTTAGTAGGACCACTTTAGTAGGACACTTAAGTATTTCAGTTAATGGATTTGAATCTGATTTCTTGGATGCATCTGTATCAAAACATATCATCAGATGAGTCCTAGTACAATGACTAATTTCAATAGAATTCTCTATTTGTTTTAGAATCATCTACAAACATCAATACAATCACTCAGTCCCAGCAGAAATGGAGGCTTTACTTTGGTATGTTTTTACAGTCATTTCTGGAAGTTTTTCACTTCTGCAATGACCTGGGAAAAATGTCTGCTATTTCAATCCTAAAGGGCCAACAAAGCCCATAAATGACATTCCAGACAGGTGAGAGCCTTGGCTTTTGGGTAGAAGTAAAAGGTCAGTAAACCCACTGCCATCGAGTCAATTTTGACTCATAGAGACCCCCTGCCCCCCCCCTCCCCCAGGACAGAGTAGAGCTGCTCCACAGGGTCTCCAAGCTTGTAAATCTTTCAGAAGCAGACTGCTGCCTCTTTCTCCCACAGAGCAGCTGACAGGTCCTAAGTGCTTGCTGATCATTTGGTTAGCAGTCAATGGTTAACCTGCAGTACCATCAAGGCTGCTTGTCAGGTCTCTAGTCTAGTGCAACAAGCTGTTAATTCCTCAGCCACTGGCTAGCATATCCTAGACAGCCTGAGAAACCTGGACAACTGCTAGTTTTAGTCCTAGCATGTAAGGCTGGTGATCTGCTTTCTAAGGTTGTACATCATCAGGACTGGCAGTAAAGTTTCCTTCATTTGCTAGGAAAGGGAGTTCAGCTAAAATGACATCAACTAAACTCGATTTTCCTACCTAAAATGCAATGTAAGCTATTTTTGTTTCATCCTAGTAAATCCCTAGTTCAGAATAGATTGTAATAACTGTACATAAAACACTGACTAACTAGGCACCATCTACTAAAAGATTACACACGTCAGATCTCAGAGTGGTGAGTTTGGAAGAAAACTAGGAATCACGCCTATTCTGGAAGAGCGGAAAAAAGTAGGGAAGACATAAGCTGGAGTACAATCACTGACATACTATACAATGGCTCTGGCCTTCATTCTATAAAAACAACTCTTATCAATTTCACAAGATTCTTTGCCCAACAGGTATGAAATTATTCTCCCAAGGGCTGTTCATTTTCTGCCTGTCTCTCATCTTTTTTCCTCCCGTGGGCCTTCATGCCGCTTTACCTTTGTTCTGAAAAAAATAAAGATGAGCCTCAGGATTCTTAAGTTTCCACAAAAGCAGAATTGGTGGCCCATCACAATTGGCATTTTCTATTCTGTTAAAGACGGGGCCAGTCGTCTCACGATGGACTGTATTCACTCTTATTCCCACCATGGAATGCATCTTTTCTGAGGACACCTACCTTTCTCAGTAGCGTCCCCAATAATGATCTTGCCTCCTCGCTTGCTTGTTTTTTCTACCGACAGTGCAGTGCTCAGCCCTTGTTCATGCTTCCCAAGACCTTGACCTTCTCGGAAACCGTACTTCTGCATGATTTTATGTGCTACTGTGCCACTGGCAGGAGGAAAAAGAAAAAGGTTCCTTGTACTTACAATCACAAATACACCATGGGTTTCATATGACAAAATCTCCTTCTGCAAAGACAGTATAAATTCATGTATATTCATATATGAAGCCACAGATCATTAACAATAGGCCAATAGATGGAGGATGTAGGGATATGCAGGGTGAAAGATGTATATATCACAAGTCACTGAAATCCGAAACATTCTGAGCTCATTTGTGAGAAGAAATTTCCAGTTTCCCTGATGAATACTTCTCTGGTTACTACTGTTAGAAATACTACTTTTTGTATGTCCTAGGAGTCCTGGTGTGGCATTGTGGGTTAATGCGCCACAATGAAAAGCTGTTTGAATTACAAGGTCAGTGGTTCAAGCTTACCAGCTGCTCCTCGGAAACCCTATACAGGGCTGCTATGGGTCGGAACTGACTTGACAGCACTTCACAACAACGGCATCTGCATAGGATATGCACTGGACTGCTAAGTGCAAGGCTGGCAGTTCAAGTCACTTCTTGGAAACCCTACACAGGGCTGCTACAAGTCGAAATTGACTTGATGGCATTTGTTGCTTGCTAACTGTTGGCAAGTCAGTTCTGACTCATAGTGGCCCTATTTAAGGTTTCTGAGGAGAAGCTGGTGGATTTGAGCTGCTGACCTTGTGGTTCGTAGTCCAGTGCTAATCCTACAGCACCACACCAGGATTCTGTACTGTTATATGGCCTAAAACCACAGTTTACTATTAAAAGTGAGCTTGTCCCATGAATGTGGTGGCACATACAGGGGCAAAGGTATAAAAACTTTACTTAGACGTTACCAAATCCTTTGAGGGAATGAGCTGCTTGGAAACAATTAATTCAATGGACTAATGGACCCATGAACCCCAGTCTCCATAACCTTGAGGCAAAAGAATCAGTTGGTACCCAGCTGGCATTACCAACTGCTCTGAAAGGGACCACATTAGAAGGTCCTGGACAGAGCGGGCGATAATGTGAAGGAAAATTCAAAATCATAAAAAGACATCAGGTTTACTGGTTAGACAGATTGGTAGAATCCCGGGACTATGGCCCTTGGTTACACTTCAGCTCTGGAACTGAACTCAATTCCACGGTTCAATTTCAGCCAAGCAGTAGATAGGTACACAGGTGGGACAACATTAGTGAGGTGTGCACACCACAGAATAGTCAAGCATTCAAGACCAAAACCACAGTATTTAGCCAAGGACACAATTCAGAAGAGTTGGGAAAAGAAGAGGAATGAACTAAGAAGCATAGGGAGGAAGCAGGAATGAGTGATGTTACACTGCAATCTTTGAGAGAAATGAAACGTCTAATGGATTGAATGTAAAATTGACGATCTGTTCTGTAAACCTCCGTTCAAATCACAATAAAAAGTTAAGGAAAAACAAAGCAAACAAATGTCCTAGTCAAAAACTAAGCATGAAGTGTCTTAACGAAGATGATGGTATTTTTCTAAACACTAAATTCCCAATAACAGACTTTACAAATGAAAGACCCATGCTCGCTGTTGTTAAGTGCCGTCGAGTGGATTCCAACTCATAGACACCCTGCATAGGGTTTCTGGGAGTGAGTGGCTGGTGGGTTTGAACTGCTAACCTTCTGATAATCTGGCTAGTGCTTTTCCTACAGTATCACACCATGACTCCCTGCTGTTGTTGAATGCCATTAGAGACCATCTACTTAACAGAATAAAAAAATAATTAGCTGACAAGCTTAGGCTGAGTAGGAACAAACCAAGGTATTCTTGAGTCCACAGCTTTTGCTCTAACACCAGAATAGTTTTCAAACTGCACTAATCAGTCTCAAGGGTGCCCCCTAACGACTATAAAACTGCTTTACACTTGAGCCTTCAAATCCTGCTTCACTTACAGCAATTGCAACCTACAGTACAAGGGGGCTTCAAAAACTTCACTGAAAAATTGATCATCAAGCTTTGCATCTATCTACCCTACTCTCTAGCACACATCCTAGGGCAGCATGTTCCAGTAGAGATTGTGAGAAGATGGAAATGCTCTATACCCGTGCTTATCAATACTGTGGACACATGCGTATTGACTGTTAGGCACTTGAAATGAAACTAGTATGACTGAGGAACTAAGTTTTGAATTTTCTTTATCTTTAATTTAAATACTGGGACTTCTGGTGTGGCACTGTAGGATAAGCACCAGACTGCTAACCTTAAGGTCAGTAGTTCAAACCCACCAGCTGTTCCTCAAAAACTCTGAGTTGGAACCAACTCCATGGCACTTAACAACAACACAATTCAAATAACCACCAGTGCCTAGGTGCTACCATATTAAAGACCAGTGTTAGGGTATGGATGTCAAGAAAGTCAGAAACTCAAAATCCCTTGAGGTAAGGGAACCATAAACATTAACTCCAACTCTTAGTAGTCATCCCAGAGGGCTCAAACAGCCAAACCAAAAAACTCCACTGTTGTAGTCACTTCCCACTCATAGAGACACTACTGGACAGAGTAGAGCTGCAATTCAACGTTTCTGAAAAGAAATCTTTACAGAAGCAGACAATCTCATCTTTCTCCTGCAGGAGAAAGAGCAGCAGGAAAGTTTAAACAACTGGATCTACTAGTTAGAAATCTAATGCTTAATCCACTGTGCTACCAGGGCTCCTTCAAAGAACCAAAGGATCTGCAAATAGGATAGGATAGATCTACTACATTAGATGGTTTCAGTCTTTCCATTATAGAAAACATTCTTCTAGATAAATACCAAGACATTAGTGAAATGCTGCTTCAGTTGACAGCCCCCTTCTAGCATCAGAGGACTTGAATAAACAACATTAAATATACTTTTACCCAAAATGCAAGCCAAATTCAATGGAAGATAAAAACAAAAATCTGCAAGCCCCACATGAATGTAAGCCTTAAAATAGAACGATTTTGACACTCAGGCAGGAAGGTAGTAATTATGACTAAAATGATTAAGAGTTTTTAGACAAAAGGTACAGCGCTGCGCGATCACAAAGCTCGTTTCATCAGGAAAGATGATACAGCTGTCATAGATGTAACTGTGTCCACCCTGAACCCAGGCCCCAATCCATGTCAGTTTGGCTGGCCCATGATTCTCAGTGGTTGGGCAGTTAGGAGCTGGTCCTTCATGATGTGGTCTGATGTGATAAACCAGCATGACTGAGGGTAGATAGTTGCTGTTAAGTGTCGCTGAGTCGGCTCAGACTCAAAGTGGCCCTGTATAGGGTTTCCGAGGCTATCAATCTTGCAGGAGCAGAAAGCCTCATTTTCTCCTGCAGAGCGGCTGGTGGATCTCATGCAAGGGGCATTCTCCCAGGGTGGGGCCTACAAGGCCTTTTATTTTACAAGAGCTAAAAGGAGAGCAAAGCAGGAAGAGATTGGAGGGACCTCTACTACTACTAAGAAAGAAGAGTGGACTGTGTCCTTTGGACCCTGCACAGAGAACCTCCTAAACCAAGTAGAAAATTGATGACAAGACTATGATCCAAGAACACTGAGCACACAGACGCCTAGCCTCCTAAACTGTGAGAATAAACTCCACTTGTGGTACTTCTGTTATAGCAGCACTAGAGAACCAAGACATGACCCTCTGGAGGCATTCTAATTTTATCAACTCCTTCACTTGCTTAATGTTATAAAAATGTAAGTAATTATCACAGACTGTTCCTACCTAGACAATATAATGCTCAACATCTAAATCATCCAAAACACTTAAGAGTAGGATTACTGTTTTGTACAAAAATATAGCATCATTATACTGGTACATGCGCCACATGGTTCAAGCACTGATTCTCTAGTAGGGAAGTGTGTAACTGAAAACATCAAGCATCTCCCTCTAAACTTAAGAATGTCCTCATTTTCAAACAAGGATTACAGTGACTGAAAGGTTTCAGAAAAAGCCAATGACACACAATACTGTTTCTCAAGTACTTTTTACACTTGCTTAGACTTGAACACTTAAAATCATTACCCCATGTTAGCAAGGAAGGAGTTACTAGGCCCGGTTGGAGATCTCGGCCTATCTTGTTCATCATAAACTGGGGGAGGAATAGCAGCTTTGGAAGACTGTGATCGAGGTCTCGAATCCTCTTCATAGGGAAAATCTCGGGGTACTATTGGATAAAAAGAAACTGGGGTTACAAAATTATACAAAACATATTTTGAACTACATTTGCATTGTTGTTGTTAGGTGCCGTCAAGTCGATTTCGACCCATTACGACCCTGTATAGGGTTTCCAAGGAGCAGCTGGTGAGCTTGAACCACCGACCTTGCAGTTCAAACGACTTTGCAGTCTGATGCATTAGCCCACAGCTCCACACCAGGACTCCTGCATTTGCAGTTATAAGACTGATTTGATTTATTTCATAAAGCAAAAATGTAGGAGGAATTTCTTCAATATAAAGGATACATTTGCATATATCCCTCAAATTGAAGCAATTCCTCCTACATTTTTTGTTTTACAAATGAGAAAAAAAATCAAATCGTCTTATAACTGTTTTTTTTTTAATTCTTAAAAATTGCAGGTAGAACACGTCGAATCATAATTTTTTTGCTCCTACTCTTCCTATGTCCTAAAAAGTCCTTTAAAAAAATCTTACTTAAATGTTATTCCAAGTAGATACTAGATCTTTAGATTTCCATAGATAGCATTTTATGTGCATCTGTCTTACTCCGTCAACAGCTTAATAGCTGTAGACTCCCAACAGTGGTTTTCTGCCCTAGCTATACACCAGAACCACACAGGCAGCCTGAGCCCCAAGCCCACAGACTGCATTCAACTGGGTAGACTCCACTCCACTCCAGGTAACAAGATTACTTACACATGTTTTTACACACTAGGTGTTTGACAAAAATTTAAGAATTGTAACCTTCTTTTTTTGAAAAAATAGCCTAAACAGTTTTTTCAGATAGTTTGGGTATGGTCAAAACCAAAGCATAGGAAAATGATCTAGAGGATGCAATGAAGTTCAATTTTAACCCAAAAGTCTAGATTAACAGAAGAACAAATAGTGGAAGGCATGCTTTGGCAATGTGCTTAAATGGAGTCCTAGTGTGGCCCTATAGCATAAACACTGGATTGCTAACTACAAGGTTGGTGGTTCAAACCCACTAGATGTTCCACTGAAACACTAAACAGGGTTGCTGAGTCAGAACTGACTTGACAACACTAATACCAACAAACCACTGAATTAAAAAATTGTAAAACCCCATTCCAGAGTCGATTCTGGACTCATGATGACCTCGTGTGTTACAGAGTAGAACTGCTCCATGGGATTTCTTGGCAGGTGCAGAACCAGGTGGTGTTTCATTCTACTGTACACAGGATCACTATGAGCCAAACCAACTGGACAGCACCTAATAATAATAACAAGCACTACATTTATGGAGGCAGATGGCCAGCTGTTTCTTCAGCAGTATCACTGGGTAGGTTCAAACTGCCAACCTTGTAGGGTAATAGAGGAACAAACTGTACCACTCAGGGACCTTAAACTGACCAATTTCTTTGACAGTGATGCCAACTGAACCCCAAATGTGAAATGTTAAGAGATCTGTATGAAAAACCCCTACCTCAGAGCCTGGTACAAAAACTTGTAATCTACAATGGTAAAGGGGGATAGCAATCTCAGTGACCCTGGCCTTAGGGGTCAGAACCAGAGGACTGGCTGTCAGGCCATTTCCCCTTAAATGCAGGAAATGTGGCTGACGTAAAATGCTAAGGTTTTCATAAAATGTATCAGAAGGGAGAAGAAACATTTCTACATACGTTCTTTGTCTTTTTCTACAAGAGAAGTGGGTGGTGCAATAGCAGCTCCGCCCATACCTGTAAAAAACATAAAGTCCATTGATTAAAGGCAAGCAAGAGCCTAGAACATAGTGAATAAATAAATTTTAAGGTGAAGAATACAGCTAAGAGAACTAACAGTTATTCGAAAATAATAACAAACTATAATTATAAGGAACTTTCATATATATGATCTCATTTAGGTTTAATAAACCTTTGACATAGGTATTATCATTCCCATTTTACAGATGAGGAGAGGGGTGTTAGTTGGCGGAGATGGGAATAAATCCAGATCCCTGTGATGCCATGCTTTCCCGCAACCTAACATGTTCCTTTTCCAGGGTGCAAGCTATTAGAGCTAACCATTTATTTGGAAATGTGGCTATTTCTGGTTCGTAATGAATCAGTTACCTGTTGCCACTTCTTTGGTCCATGTTTCCTTGATGGACAATAGCAAGCACAATGCTAAAACATTGCTAAAAGATCATAGAAATCTTCATCAGACAAAAAAATATCAACTATGAAGCCAGTGTTTCTTGTCAAAGTCTCCATCTAGGACTATACACTTCTAAAGGCAGTGTTTCCATCTCCAATTCTTCCCTGAAGAATTCTGCACTCTTTTGATGTACACAACAAAATAGCTTAGACATCCTTGTGGGACCCAAACTGTTTCTTTTAAATGTTCTTCTAGTTTTGGGGACCATAAAAAAAGAAGTCTGAAGGGGCAAGATCAGGGCTGTAGGAAAGATGGGGTAAGGTTTCCAAATGAAACTCTTACAGGGCAACCCTTGCCACTCTCAAATAATGAGTAGGCGTATTGTTATGAGTAGGTACAGTTTTCATTTTAATCCCCATCTCCCTCCAAACTTATTGCTAACAAGACCTTTTTTTGGAAAGTACTTTAAAAAGGCTAAAACAAGTAAATTAGTGAGACAATTTGTCTGCAGTCATCCACTGATGGCAGAGGAATGTTTAAACATGCTTTATTTGAAATAAATCCTTGCATGCGTGAACTAGAATCCTAAATTACCCTCATACAAATGGACCAAAAAGAGGTCTCTTCCACCTTCTAGCCAACAGCCAGAGGGAAAGCATAAAAGGGGACAGACCATAAAACCACAGCAACTTTTCTTTATATCCATTATGGCTTAAGTATGAGAAAAATTCTATTAAAAAATGCTAAAATGTAAGTTAAAAAAATTGGATGACAAAATCAAATTGGATCAGGATAAACTGTTTTACAAAAAAAATTATTTGAAAGCCAGTGCCCGTGTATCATGATTAATGGGACTGAGCTACATAAAATACTTAAGGAAAAATATTTTTGTAATACTTCCAAGATTTCTTTCTTAACCTTGTCATTAAGACCCAGAGTGACTTCTGATTTGATTCTGAAAAGTCAATTTGCTCTACAGTGCAGTATGAAAAATTCACGGTGGCTGGAAATCTGCTACTAAAATATGATGAGCAATCCTCTAATAGCATTGCATATAATAATTCATATAATGTCACTGCTTCTGTAATATTAGCCACAAGTTCAGTCAAATAGCAAGAGCATTTTGATTAGTGGTTTTATAATTCCTATTAATGTTTACGGATCCTGGCATGGCACTGTAGGACAAGCACTGGACCGTAAGCTCGGTTTGAACTGTAAGGTTCTTGTCAATTATTACTAAGACTTGTTAGAAACTAATAATCAGCACTGGTGTGGTGCTGGAGCATAAGCACTGGACTGCTAACCAAAAGGTCGGGGATTCAAACCCACCAGCCGTTCCTTGGAAACCCTATACAGGGGCGCCATGAGCTGGAACTAATTTGACAGCACTTAATAGAAAAAAAATAATAAAGTCCTAATATAAAGGTCCCATTTCCTCACAAAAAAAAGACAAAAGACTGGCAAACTGAAAAGATGAGACCACAAATATTCAGCCTGTATGTTGGATTCTAAAGCAAGTTAACACAAACCAATTTGTTGATTAACTAATCAAATGCCTAACATGGACCTGTTGTATGTAAAGTACTTAGCACCCTCTCTGTGCCTCAGATTCCTAATCCTTAATAGAAAAACCTTAGTTCGGTGCTTAACAGAAATTCAGCTGGGCACAGAGAGGTTACTATGACTCTACTTCAGGTAGAAAAAAGGATGTGTGTATATTTTAAGCTACTTTCAAAGTATCCAATAAGTAAATGGTAGAAAGTGGCTGTGAAATCCAAAGGAGACTATATGTAAAAACAAAATGCAAATAAATCAAACTCTTAATGCAAATGTGGATTGCTAAAATCCCCAAAATCAATGTCAACTGAACTATTCACCAAATGGAACATGAAATTATTGGAACTGCCCATTGTCTAAAACAGAAGATTTCTGTTCACATCTTACTTCTTTTCCTCCTCTCTCGCTCATAATCTTCATCTTCATCAGAATCTGGATCCGGTCGCCTTGAAAATCCACTAGCTTCATGTCTGTCTTTACGCCGCCTGTGTTAAGGAAATTTAAAATGTTCATCAGAGACAAACCAATTTAGGTGTGAACCTGAGAACTTCGCTTTGATTTTTTTCTCGACTAAAAATATTCATATTCTCTCTTTCAAACAGAGCCCTGGTGCCACGACTGTTTAACGGGTTGGCTGCTCAAAAAGCTGATGGTCCGAACCCATCCAGAAGCTGACCAGGAGAAAAACCTGACAATTTGCTCCTAATAAAGACTACAGTTTAGAAAACCCTATTAGGCAGTTCTTCTCTGTCACATGGGGCCATTATGAGTCTAATTCACTGTATGGTATCTGATAACAATTCTTTCAGACTATTCATTTGGGGTTGAGTGAGAGAAGACAACGGGCTAAAGACTAAAGTATTAAAGCATGAAAAGTGAGAAAAATAAGGAAGATAAATAAAACAAATTTAATAAGTACAGTATTGTTAACAAGAAAAAAGTTTCCTTGATATTACCTCTTTAAATGATTCAATGAACAATGAAAAACAGTACATTAATACGCTGCACTGTGCGAGAAAGAAGAGGCTGTCTTCTCATGCAAAAATACATAGCCTCGGATGCCCTATGCAGGGATGTGAGTCAGAAATGATTTGATAGCTCTTAACCAAAACAACACAAAAGCCTCAAGTGTGGGAAAGATAGATGAAGCATCTAAAACATAGAGAATAAGTACCCAGTACACAGCACTGTGATACCTATGCAACAACATTCCAGAGATAATGCATTCTTTTCACCAACACATTTCTTTTACTTTGTAGTATTTCAGTATAATAAATACCTTTGTTATACTTTGCCTTATAAACAGCACTCAAGTTCCTTTAATGCTCTAATAAATATTTCAAAGAAAAAATATCCCCAAATCCACACAACATCTTACTTTTCTCTTTCTTCGATTTCTTTCTGTCGTTCCAGTTCCCGCTGTCTTTGTCGTTCCTCTCTTTGGCGCTTTACTACTTTCTCATAATCATTAGGAAACATAGGATCATATTCATCAGCCAAGGGAATCAAAACTTCTCCTGCAGAAAATCCACTAGGAACAGGATCCTGAGGAAGAAAAAAAATGGCCAAAGTAAGTCTCATCATCATGTCTTAGAATTCTGTTCAGAGAGATAAGGTCCAAGAAAATGAGGGTTACATAGCCCTGACGATCATCTATTCACCTCCTTTGGCTTACAAAGAAATGCACGCCAAAGGAGATTTAATGATCCTTTGTTAGGTAACAGTTAGGTAACAGCAGAAACAATATAGAGAATTCCACAACAGCTCTTGAACAACATAATACTTGTTGCTGTTGTTAGGTACCAGTGAGATGGCTGACACACAGTGACCCTGTGTATATAATTTAATACAGAACGCAACACTGCCTGGACCTGCACCATCCTCACAGTTGTTTTTGTTTGAGCCCACTGCTGCTGTCACTGGGTCAACCTATCTCACTGGGAGTTTTCCTCTTTTTTTTGTGGATCCTCCACTTTATCAAGCATAATGTCCTACTCTAGGGACTGTTGCTGTTGTTAAGTGCTGTTGAGTCAGTTTTGATTCACTGCAACCCTGTCTAGGGCTTCCAGGGAACACCTGGTGAGTTTGAATCTCCAACCTTGTGGTTCAAACTGACCTTGCAGTCCAGTGTCTTATGCCACAACACCACACCAGGACTCCCTTCTAATAACATGCCTGAAGTACAAGAGAGGAAGTCTTGCGATCCTAGCTTCTAAGGAGCATTCTGGCTGTATTTCTCCCAACACAGTTTTGTTTGATCTTCTGGCAGTCCATGCTATTTGATATTCTTTCCCAACAACATAACTCAAATGTATTGGTTCTTTCAAAGTCTTCCTTATTCATTTGAATACGAGGATATTTAAAATACCATGACTTGGGTCAGGTGCACCATTGTTCTCAAACAGATACCTTTGCCTCTGAACACTTTAAAGTCGTCTTACACAACACATTTTATAATGCAAGACATCTTTTGATTCTTCAATGCTGCTTCCATGAGTGTTCCAAGCAAAATGAGCTCCAATTTTTTTCTCCATTAACATGATGTTATTTATCCATCCAGTTCTGAGCATTTTTGTTTTCTTTACATTGAGGTACATCAATACTGAAGGGTATATAGTCTTTGATTTTTTTCAGTTATGTTCTTTAAAGTCTTTTTTGCTTCTAGCAAGCAAGGTAGTATCATCATATTGCAAGTTGTTGATGAGTCTTCCTCCAATCCTACTGTCACATTCTTTTCATATAACCCACCTTCTTGGATTACATGCTCAGAATATAGGTTGAGTAAGTATGGTGAAAGGATACAACCCTAGTGCACACTATTCCT